CGAACCCGCCACCTTAGGTGTACGTGGCTGGCGCCTTAGCCGGTTGAGCCATAGGCGCCGAGCCAATTTTTCTATTATTTATTTATTTTTTTTTTGGTAGAGACACAGTCTCACTTTATCGCCCTGGATAGAGTGCCATGGCATCACACAACTCATAGTAACCTCCAACTCCTGGGCTTAGGTGATTCTCTTGCCTCAACCTCTCGACTAGCTGGGACTATAGGTGCCCACCACAACGCCCGGCTATTTTTTTGTTGCAATTTGGCTGGGACCGGGTTTGAACCTGCTACCCTCGGTGTATGGGGCTGGTGCCCTACCCACTGAGCCACAAACATTGCCCTAATTCTTTTTTTTTTTGCAGTTTTTTTGGCTGGGGCTGGGTTTGAACCCACCACCTCCAGCATATGGAGCTGGTGCCCTACTCCTTTGAGCCACAGGAGCCGCCCGTTTTTTCTCTTTTTTATAGAGGTAGGGTTTCACTGTTGCTCAAGTTGATCCCAGACTCCTGCCTCAGCCTCCAAGGGTGCTGGGATTACAGGCGTGAGCCATCTCACTTGGCCTCATTTTATGATTTTTTAAAAACATTTTAAAAGATTGTCTAACACAAGTGCATAATAAACACAAAATATAAAAATAAATGACCTTTTAAAACTAGTTTTCTGGCGCCTAACAGGGCTAGGTAACAAATATCTATTAAAAGATTATTGATTGTGCAGTTTGGATTGTTATCCAATTTGGGAGCTTTTGTTATCCCATTTGGGAGCTTTTGAGTCTTTTTTCCTGACCAGAATTAATCTAAACAGATACCAGGTTAACTTGCTCTCAAAGAGATGCCATGAAGCTGAATTGAGCCAAGTGATTTATGTTACCTCCAGGCCGTAAGCTCCATAAGTGCATTTGAATTTGGGATCTCTTTAGATGTGGCACAAGGGCTGTTTGCAGTGCACAGAAGACAACTGGAGCCTCTAACTTTGGTTACTTGATTTTAGAGACCAGAACCCAGATGTTTTTTCTCTTGGGGCCCCAACCTGCTTTGTTAAAAAATTTAGCCCTAAGTTTAAGCAGCAGCTGAAATGGGAGCGGGTGAGTAGATGAGCTTGTGTGTGCCTGCCCAGTTCTCTGGCCTGCCTGTCTCTGGCCCTGGGCTCTGTAGGATATAGCAGGAATTGGAACTTCATTTTGAAAGCTCTGTAAAACCTGTGCCTTCCCCCAAGCCTGTGCTTTCTGGATTTCATGGCCCTCTGTGGAGATGAGAGCCTGTGAAGTTACAGAACATGCATGATCAGAGCAGGAAATAGTGAGGAAAGACGTTAAGATGCTCCCACGGGGGTAGCTCAGAATCACAGAGCACAACTGTGCCCTGCTTCTCCAGGCTCCTGCTTCCCTGGCACTGCAGAACAGATGGGGGCCCAGGGAGGCCTTGCATGCGCTACTGGAGCAGGGGTTCCAAGAGCCTCTTCCTATCCTTCCTGCAAATGCTTGTCTTAATAGCCCCTAAGTGCCACTCAGCCTAGCACCCAGCTCCCTGCTGACTGGAGATGACTCTACTGGAGCTTTTTGTGTGGGGATTGAAAAGCGTTTTTTTTTTCTTTTTTTTTTTTTTTTTTAATTTAAGCAGTCTCATTCCATCTGCCTACACACTCTTAACCTGCTTTGTGAACTAAGCTCTGTGACTTTTGCTGGTTACTTCACCACACCAACCCACAAAAGGGTTTTGAGAACATTTGATGAGATGAGATCGTGGGCCTGCATAGTAGGTTCTCTGGAAGTGTCGCTAAGAGGGACCTGCATAACTTATCCTATTCATCCTCAGAGTAAAGAGAGCAAGTGTATATTTATATTCTTAAAGCAGCCTTTCATAGTGAGGAAGCCAAGGCATAGAAAGAAGTCACTTGCCCACACTCACACAGCCAGTTAGATGGGCCTCCTGAGAGTCACACCCAAGTCCACCTAGCACCAAATCCTGGTCAGGCCACCCTGACCTTCTTGCTCTGCTTAGTTTTCCATGGATGAAAACAGACAGCCAATAAGTGGTATTCTTCTGGCTCACAAGCAGGCTCTGTGTTCATTTCCCCACGATTTGGGATTTTATGGGAATTCTGGAAGGCTCAACAAGTTATTAGGTTTCTCTGAATCATTTTCTCAAGCTGCTTATTTTATGAGAATGTATCAGCACTAAATTGTGTCTTGTTTAAATCTTGTGCCGAGTTTAAGGACATTTCTTAGTGTAATCATGTAGGGAATTGGAAGTGGTTATAAAAGTTGCAGTATCTATGGCAGTCTGCCAGTTTCTTCCTCCCACATACAACAGGCTGAGTAAGGACAGAGCCAAATGTCAGAGTGTTGGTAAATAGTAGTACCACTGTGTAGGAATTTTGTCAGGTGAGGTACTGTTTTGCCCTGCAGGTTTAACTGACAGAACACTTAAGGCGCTGAGATTGAAATACTAAGCTCCTGTTCTCCCATGTGAAGATCACACTAAAAAACCCCCAGCAGCTTTCTGGTTGTGAGACATGTACCTCTTCGTACCCCAGCCCCCCTCACTTACACTCAAAGTATCAGAGACCTGAGAGGGACATGCTGATGAAGGTTTTGGAGAATGGGTAGATGTGGGGCCTTTTTGTTGGTGGTAGTGATGGTGGTTTTTGTTGTTTTGGTGTCCAAATCAGAGCATCATGTGGCCTTGAGGGTTTGGTAAGGAAGGAACACAGTTCAAGGACAAGCAATAGCTTCTTGGGAATGTATGGAGAAAGGAAAGGGGAGGGAATGTGGACAACATAACTGTATATTTGAAAATATCTGTGACAAGAAAAAAAAAGGAAAGAAAGAAAATACCTGTGACAGACTCAGTGCCTGTAGCACAGTGGTTACAGCGCCAGCCACATACACCGAGACAGGCTGGCAGGTTCGAAACCGGCCTGGGCCAGCTAAACAATGACAGCTGCAACAAAAAATACCCGGGCGTTATGGCGGGCACCTGTAGTCCCAGCTACTTGGGAGGCTGAGGCAAGAGAATCACTTAAGCCAAGAGTTTGAGATTGCTGTGAGCTATGACCACGGCACTCTACCAAGGGCCACATAGTGAGACTCTGTCTCAAAAAAAAAAAAAAGAAAATACCTGTGACAAAACTGAGATTCCTAATAGAGACCAGCCATATGAAGAGGAAGGAGTTAATGAGAAATGAGTTGTTAATTGTAGTTAAGTGGGTTTTGGTAAACCTTTGGGAGAATAGACCAGGCAAGAGGCCCTGGAAGCAGGCTTGAGGCCTTTGGACTGGGAATTTAGAGGTCCCAGGTACTTAGAACAAGATCTAGAAAGGAGAGCATTGTCCCTAAGTGGACACATCTCTTTGCCACATAGACTCTTTGCACAGAGGCAGGATACACTGCCAAGGAGGGCCAGAGTGGGCCTTATAAAGCCTGGAGCCCAGGGCAGGGCCGGATTGCTGTCCCCTGATTTCCTGGCAATGCACATGCACTGTGGTGCAGTAGAAGAACATGCAGCTGGGAGGCAGAGAACTGGTTCTAATCCTGACTGTGCCCTGACAAGCTGTTTGTCTGACTTTGCTCAAGTTATTTACCTGCTCTGGACTTCATATAGAACCATGACTTAGGGGACATCAACTTTGTTATCCCTGAGTATTTCTGAGGGCAACAACAGTGCCCAGGGCTTTGCTCAGCTTGGAGAGGAGGTCCAAAGCCTGCCTGTGGTGAGGAGGAAAGGGATTAGAGAGAGTTAGATCTGGCAGTGCTGAGATTGGAAGTGGCCAAGTCTAGCGCACTCCAAAGCCTTAGGAGAGTGACTACCCCTACTGCCTCAGTTCCTCTGTCTGTAAAAGAGGACCCACAATACCCTGCACAAAGTAACACCCTAGGACAAAGGGAATTCCTATTATGATTGATTAAAAACAATCAGGAAAATGGGTAAAAAGAGCCTGGAAATGAGTGTGAGGAAAGAAAAGGACATCAGACAGATGAAGTCCTGTCCTGTGGTCTTAAGGCCTTGGTCAGTCAATTTGGCCCTGGTAATCACCACATAAAAAGGAGATAAGGGTTTCCTGGCCCATTTCTGCCTTGGATTTAGGAAAGCCATTGGATTTTTACACCTCAGTTTCTTAAGCGAGTTTGAGAGTTAGTATTTTGGATGGCAATAAAATTCTTTTCTTTTGTTCACAGAGATGCTGCAGTTTGTCAGTAATCAAGTGGGAGAGTTCCCTGACTTGTTTTCAGAGCAGCTATGTAGCTCCTTCCCTGGCAGTAGTGGTGGCGGCGGAGGCGGCGGCAGTGGCAGCGGCAGCAGCAGCAGCAGTGGCAGAGGCAGCAGCGGTGGAGCCGTGGATCCCTCCATGCAACGATCATTCAGCCAGGTCCCATTACCTTCATTCTCTCCCTCAGCTGCTTCTCCCCAGACTCCAGCCCTGCAGGTCAAGGTCCCTCCCACCGCCATTCCCACCCCACCGAGAACAACTCCTATTCTTCAGCCCCGCCCCCAGCCCCAGACTCAGCCTCAAGCTCAGCTGCAACAACAGACAGTAATGATCACCCCAACGTTCAGCACTGCTCCTCAAACAAGGATCATCCAGCAGCCTTTAATATACCAGAATGCAGCTACCAGCTTTCAAGGTGATTGAGAAGTCAGATATGGTAGTGAATTGGTTGGTTCCACAGTTTATGTGCCAGTTTTCAAAGACTAAATTGTTCTCTCCTCTTTGGGAATGACATATATACAACCATATGATCTTGTCTGAATGTATTTCTGGTAACTGGCAGTATAATCTGGTGCAGGAACATTTTACATTCTGCTTCTTCAAATACCTTAATATCTATTGTGCTTGCTTCAAAGACACTTGGTCAAAAATATCCAACAAGCATAGTAGACATAGAGCCATGCTAGTATTTAGTAGTAGAGGCTTGAATAAAATTAGGCTAAAACTTGGCTAGGTAGCAGTCAGATGTCAACATCCACAGGTTGAGGACCATTCATTTAGCAAACATATGGAGAGATGAATATGATGTTCGATACAGCTGCTGCATCTCCGAGTAAGAGGCCTCACAGTGGGCCCTCAGTATGTGTTGAGTGAACAAAGGACTGAAAATGGTTTGTTCTTTTTGTGATGTGCTGTATCCCAGTGCCTTTTCATCAGATTTCCCTCTCACTGTGGGGAGCCCTGAGTGGGATTAGTATTGCTCTGAATTTTAAAGCATCTGACAGTTCTTCGATGGAGTTCAAGAATTTGGGGGAGGGGAGTAGATGTAAAGGCAAAAAGCTGAGACAGTCATACCAAAGTACACTTTCCCTCCAGAAAGCAAGGGAGGAAATGAGGCCCCCGGGAGGTGTTGATTCCCAAAATCTGTTAATTCCCGTGCTGGGTACAGTCATTTGCCTATGATCTTCCCTTACCTCCACCCCAGCATAATAAAACAATTTGTACTGGTTCCCTCAGAAATTGATGCAGCCCTTATGGGATGTTCTTGTTATCTAAACCAGCTTGTAAATGGCTGTGCATATCTTCTTCAGCAGCGGGTAGGGAGTTAGAATCATTAAGATACTCCATTCTTAGGTTATTGCTGCAGCTATAGTGACAGAATGCATTCTTCATCTGTGTTTTTTTTTTTTTTTTCTCCTTTCCCTCCAAGTCCTTCAGCCTCAAGTCCAAAGCCTGGTGACATCCTCCCAGGTGCAGCCGGTCACAATCCAGCAGCAGGTGCAGACTGTACAGGCCCAACGGGTACTGACACAGACAGCTAATGGAACGCTGCAGACCCTTGCCCCAGCTACGGTGCAGACAGTTGCAGCGCCCCAGGTGCAGCAGGTTCCGGTAGGTGGCTAGAAAGGATTCATGGAGGTACCATTTGGGGCTGTTGACTAGTCCTTGGCTAAAGATGTGGTCTGCATACTAAAGAGAACCAGCCAGAACCAGCCAGAGTGTACACAAAGCAAGCAGCTTGTAGGGTGCCAGGATGCATTTGTGAGTAGCGTGTAGCAACCTGGCTGAGCTCACATCTGTAGATAGGCACCACCACTCACATGTGCTAAGTAAAACCTGGTACTCAATTATATATATGATGGGTGTAAAACTGGAGAGAAATGCACCAAATTGGTATTTCCCAGGTTTTCTTTATAGTTTTCTGTATTTTTTTTACCATGGATGCTAAACATTATATTTGGGGGTGGTGGTGCATGTATAATTTTTATAAATAGAAAAATGTCTTTATGTCATGTGTCATAGTGGACCATATTTTCTTACTAACAAAGTAATTTATCTTTAAAATCTAGGGTTATTATTTTTGCTTCTCAGTCATGTTTCTGACTTTACTGAGTCTTTTGAAATCAGACCTCTCTCCCTCTTCTGTCTACCCCACCCATCCCTGCTCTGCTTCTGCTAGGCCACCAGGACTGCCCTCCTAGAAGCCTTACAGCCTTAAACTCTGGAACCTCTTTAGCTAGCTCTTCCTTCTTTCCCTGAACCCAGTATTCAGGCTATACAAAATAGCCAGCTTTTGAACTGGCTTCTGAAATTTCCTGATTTTTATTTATTCTCAGTTTTTTCATTTGTTCTTGAAGGGTCTATACAATAAGAAACAAATGCAAAATAGAAAAATATTAATATTTTTCCTTTTCTTCTTTATCTAGGTCCTGGTCCAGCCTCAGATCATCAAGACAGATTCCCTTGTTTTGACCACACTGAAGACAGATGGCAGTCCTGTTATGGCGGCAGTCCAGAACCCAGCTCTCACTGCCCTCACCACTCCTATCCAGACAGCCGCCCTTCAAGTACCAGTAAGAGTTGCCTTCTCCCCTGCCCTCTTCTCTCTACCTCAATTTTTGGAGGTATTAGGCTTTAGAGATGGTAAAGTCTCTATATGCTGAGCAGATATCAGAAACTCTATAAAAGTGTTGGTCAACTTGTAAATATCAGCCCTCTTAGTCTTCCCCTTGAAGAAGTACTACCAATGGTACTGACAGTGGTTATAAATGGGAGTACTGGGGCCAGAATAGAGCAGCAGAAGAACCCCAGTTTCTGGCCAACAGTTCCACATAGACCACCTGCCTCTTAGGTCCGGCTAACAGAGGTTTGGCTTCTGAAGGACCCAAGGGCCACAGGCAGGGAGGGGCTGCAGGGTCAGGGAGGTGGAAGGCATCCCATCCTTCTCTTGTAGGTTCTCTGCCACTTAGAGCATCCAGTGGGAAGAGAGTCTAATAGAGTAAATAGTGATTAAAACTTGGAAGCACTGGCTTTACTCATAACAGTCAAGAAATGGAAACAACCCAAATGTCCATCCAAAGGAGAACAGATAAATAAGTTATGATAGATTCATATAACGAAATTGTGCCCTGCAATAAAAAAAAAAAAAAAAAAAACTGTTGGCTGGGTGTGATGGCTCACACTTGCAGTACCAGCAATTTGGAAGCTGAGGCAGGAGGATCACTTGAGGCCAGGAGTTTGAGACCAGCCTGAGCAAGAGCAAGACCATGTCTCTACAAAAAAATAGAAAAATTGCCAGACATGTAGCCTGCACCTATAGTCCCAGCTACTCAGGAGGCTGAGGCAAGAAAATCACTTCAGCTCAAGAATCTGAGGTTGTAGTGAGCTATGATGATACCACTGCACTCTGGCTGGGGCAACAGACTCTTGTGTCAAAAATAAAAACATAAAAATGGCTATTGATATACAAAACAAAATGGCTGACCCTCAAAAATAGTATATTGAGAACAAGAAGGCTATCACTAGAAAGAGTTCATGCTGCCAGACACAGTGGCTTGCACCTGTAATCCTAGCACTCTAGGAGACTGAGGCAGGTGGATTGCTTGAGCTCATGGGTTCGAGACCAGCTTGAGCAAGAGCAAGACCCCCGTCTCTACTGAAAATAGAAAAGACTGAGGCAGGAGGATCACTTGAGCCCAAGAGTTGGGGATTGCTGTGTGGCATGCTATACTCAGGGTGACAGCTTGAGTCTCTGTCTCAAAAAAAAAAAAAAAAAAAAAAACAACGCAGAAAAGTTCATGCTAATAATTCCGTTTATATGAAGTTCAAAAAGAGACCAAACTGAGCTCTGGTGATAGAAGTCAGAGCAGTAATGGGGGGGCGGGGACATGGGGGAACTTTCTGACCTGATAGACGTTGAAATTGGCTTTCTCTTGGTCTGAGTGGGTTATATATATTGTATAAATATATAAAATTTATCAACCTATAAATTTAAGATTTTGGAGTTTTGTTATGTGAATTGTTTATTGATGATTAATGAAATTAGTCACCTTTGTATTTATTTATTGGTCATTTAAATATTGAGGCCATTTATTGAAGAAAATAAAACTAAAATTAGAAAAAATAGAAACAAGAGGAGAAAGGGAAGAGCAAATAAAAAGGGGAGCCTCCGTGATTGGCCTGATTGAGAGTATCAGTTCTACCCTTGAGCTTTTTTGATGGCCAAATTCTATAAAGAAATGCAGTAATTTTCTTAATTGTCATTTGGGAGGAAAAATACATCATATATCAGGAGAAAGTTTTCTCTGGTGCCAATTCATGTGGTTCACTGTGTATGAGTTCAGAAGTGGTTAACATGGTTCAGCGCCCACAGCTCAGTGGTTAGGGCACCAGCCACATACATACTGTTTAGCAGGCCCACAGCTGCTAAACAACAATGACAGCTGCAATCAGAAAATAGGCAGGCATTGTGGCTGGCGCTATAGTCCCAGCTACTGAGGAGGCTGAGGCAAGAGAATTGCTTGAGCCCAAGAGTTAGAGGTTGCTATGAGCTGTGACGCCACGGCACTCTACCAAGGATGACATAGTGAGACTTTATCTCAAAAGAAAAAAAAGGAAGTGGTTAACAGTTTGACTGCAAAGTAGAACTCACATATGACTTGTTTCTGACATACCTAGATCCACGGTTAAAATATATTCAGCCATGTTAATCCTTTTGTAGTATAATTTATTGACAGTGATTCTGATAGAGAGGTAGTAACTGAGGTCCTGTGGCTCCCGAGGCTCCTTGGAGCCTGACTTAATTAACCTGAGAAGAGTTTCAGACCTCATGAAGCACTGCGAGGTGATGCCACATGCCAAGCAATGATTGCTTTATGCAGATCGATGAAGGGATAATTCCACTCTGTGCCTTTGCCTGTTCTAGACACTGGTGGGCAGCAATGGGACCATTCTGACCACAATGCCTGTGATGATGGGACAAGAGAAAGTGCCCATTAAGCAGGTACCTGGAGGGGTAAAGCAGCTCGAACCCCCCAAAGAAGGAGAAAGGCGGACGACACACAATATCATTGAGAAACGATATCGTTCTTCCATCAATGACAAAATCATTGAATTGAAAGACCTGGTCATGGGGACAGATGCCAAGGTGAGGTGATAAACAAAATGGTATTTCATGTCCTGCCATCTCTCCTCTACCTGTCTTTGCCTCAGGAATTTAGGGAAGTCCCAAGCCCAAGCTGAGTGAGTGCAAGAATGAGTTAGAGGTATTTTCTTATTAAGCACCATGTCATTTATTAAGATTATAAAATATTAATCAGCATAAGGGGACTGTTGAAGGTTGATGAGGCAGTGGCCTACTAAAACCTTTGATTCCTTCGACCGTGCTCTGCAGTGATGGGGAACCCTAGTGTCAGAGGCAGGGAGAGATGCATGCCACTCATCAGTGGCCAGGGGAAGGCCTGTGTGTACCTTGGAGTAAGCTGATGGCATCGTTGGCATATTTTTAGCTGTGTTTAGGGTAGCTGGCAATAAATTTACCCTTTAGGGAAGAGAGGAAAAATGGAGATTGGGTCTTTGACCAATAGCAAATAGTTGAAACTGATTTTCCAAATGTTTCTGGTGTTTCAATGATTGTGTTTTCTGGCATGTAGGAGGTCCCCCCCACCCCCGGTTTGGTTTTTTTTTGTTGTTTGTTTTTTCCTAAACTATTATCTGTTTTCCCCTGTTTTGAAAGTTTAATTTCTCCTGAGTTAATCTGAAAGGTATATATCAAGTAAAAATAGATGCCTTTACTTAATACAGCTGTCCAACAATGACCTGGTTTTTTGTCATTTGTTTTTCTTAAAGTTTGTTTAGGATTATTATCAGAAGTAGGAATAAAGTGAATATTTATTTCTTGAGTATCGTACGTGCTAGGTTCTTTACACTCATTACCTCTTTTACCCTTCCCTGAATGCCTATAATTCAGGCCTGTCATTATCCCCATGTTAAGGAGTAAATGAGGTTCAAAAGTGTGGAGAGTAACTTGTCCTGGGTAGCATAGCATCAGTGGAGAAGCCAGCATCTGAGCTCCTCATCTCCCTTCCCAGAGCCGTACTCTCAACCATGAGCTCTAGGGCTCTGCTGTGTTCACCCTACAGCTTGCACTGGTTTCACTATGTTTTTACTCATCTTCCCAGATGCATAAGTCTGGCGTCCTGAGGAAGGCCATTGATTACATCAAATACTTGCAGCAGGTCAATCATAAACTGCGCCAGGAGAACATGGTGCTGAAGCTGGCAAATCAGAAAAACAGTAAGTATGCTCACTGAGCAAAGGGTTGCTAGGCTGAGGTGTGCTGGGCACTACGGTGGGCCCTCAGATATGTACAAGGCCTTACCAGGCTCAGCCCCTGCCTAGGGAAAGCTTTATAAAAGCAAATCATTCTTACCAGGTGGGATTTTCTTTGCAGAGCTCTTGAAGGGCATCGACCTAGGCAGTCTGGTGGACAATGAGGTGGACCTGAAGATAGAGGACTTTAATCAGAATGTCCTTCTGATGTCCCCCCCAGCTTCTGACTCAGGGTCCCAGGCTGGCTTCTCCCCATACTCCATTGACTCTGAGCCAGGAAGCCCTCTGTTGGATGATGCAAAGGTATGAGCTTTTGAAATCCCCCAATCCCTGGAATCTCTCCCATTTCCCCTAAGAAAGCAGGGAGAAAGCCACAGATAAGAGGCAGGGCCAGGTGTTCAGAGGGCCTAGGCTGGAGAAGAATAGGAATTCTGTGAAATTAGCCAGATTCTGAGGAGTAAAGAAAGAGAAAAATTATTTGGGTTGTGGGGAGAGGAGTGGAAACAGTCCCTCAGGTTTAACTGGTCATGCTGAGAAGAATGAGTACAAAGTCCAAAACTGGGACATTGTAGCAGCTGTCAGTGGGCCCTGGGAGTTGCTGGAGGTGCCTCATTACTTCCTTCTGTCTATAATGGTCCTGGCAAGACCACTCTGGGAGGCAGGCTGATCTGTTGGTTTATGGTGAGGCTGCCTCTGGGTCCTCTTTTTGAAAATGATTGCAGTTTGCAGTCTAACAGATAACATTTCAACTAAGGCCCTTTAATTGCTAAAGAAAGCCCTTGGCAGTTACAGTTTAATGGAATTGGTTAAAAGAGCTCTGAGCCTAACGATCTTCCTGGGAACCTGTGGAGACCACTGGCTTCTATGCTGTATTTTGACTTTGGCAGTTTTTAACTCCAAAAGCACAAAGTTCCCTTTTATTATTTGTTTTTGACTAAGCATTGATTGTATCATACACTTAATTTTACTAAGGAAGCTCTATTTTTAAAATATTTTATGAATATGATTACTTTGTTTACTATTAGTAACAACAGGCTGTTTGTTGTTGTGTTGTTGATTGCCTTAGCTAGGCTTCTGGGTCATCAGAAAAAAATTTCAAATAGTTTTAAAATACTGAAAAGGAGTGATGTGGTATGTACATGTTGGGGCTTAGGGGAAATCCAACTTCAGCCTTCTTCCCCTTCCCTCCTCTCTAAAACGGGGGATGGGGTGGGGCTGGAGACAATGTCACAATTTTAGAACAAGAAAAATCTTTTACATAGATCCACACTGAAGTATAGTTCTTAATCAACTTTATTGAGGTATAATTTAAATGCAGTAAAATACTATTTTAAATGTACACTACCAGGAGTTTCAGCTTAATGTACATTGCTACATAACTGTCACTATAATCAAGATATAAAACATTTCTATCACCTTAGAAAGCGCCTGCGTACACTTTGCAGGTAGTTCATACACCCCTGTCCAGCCTCAAACAACTACTGAATCATTGGCTTCCTGTCACTTGAGATTTGTTTGGCCTATTCTGGATTTAAAAAGAAACAGTCATACAGTGTGTTCTTTTTTGTTTTGGGGGGGGTTGGTTTTGGGGGGTTTTTGGTTGCAGTTTGGCTGGGGCCAGGTTCCAACCCTCCACCGTCAGTATATGGGCTGGTGCCCTACCCACTGAGCAACAGGTGCCGCCTAGTGTGTTCTTTTTGTGATAAAGCTCTATTTTAAAAGAAAATCTATTCTACCTTTGTTCTTTGGAATACATACTTTTCTCAGTCAGCAAGTGGGCAAACATTCCAGTGTTTGAACAGCAGTATATGAAGCGTAGGCTTCCTAGTTCCCATCTGGCTTTATTCCTGTCTAAGTGGTCTTGAGTTTAAATTAAGTCTCCCCATCTCTTTCCTGATATGTATATATATGTATAATGCTGTAAAAACCCACATGGTATTCATTCCAACCTTGAGGCACTGTTTTGAAGGTCAAAGATGAGCCAGACTCGCCTCCCGTAGCGCTGGGCATGGTGGACCGCTCACGAATTCTGCTGTGTGTCCTCACCTTCCTGTGCCTCTCCTTTAACCCCCTGACTTCCTTGCTGCAATGGGGAGGGTCCTCCGACTCTGACCAGCATACATACTCGGGCTCTGGCCGCAGTGTACTATCATTCGAGTCAGGTAGGTGAGACCCCCTTGCACCATCTGGGCATGGGTATACCTCTGAGGCAAGACAGGGGTCCTATGTACAAACTGTGACTTATTTACCAGGAGGGGTTTTCTTTGCTTTTATAGTGGGATCCTACCTGCTTGCTTCTGATAGGGACTAGTGCAAGTTGCATTTTAGAAGTAACAAGGTAAATCCAAGTTCAGTCAGAGCAAGCAAAATAAGTCAGCGATATATACTGCTAAAAATGCCCTGGAGTGGGAACAGGGGGTTGGAGGCGGTTACCTATTTGAAGGAGGATGTGGTATTTTTTACTGAGTTGTGAAACCAATGTGCTAACCCTGTCTGGCTAACAAAGATTTTTGTGGCACTCAACTCTATAATGATAAGAGAGAGAAATCCTCTTATCATTATGGATTTCTATCTATTTAGATTATAGAATTATCTGCCTTTTCTTCCAAAAATGAGGTAGAAGTCTCTTTCATGTCAGAATGCTGGGCTCAGTCAGATATTTGGCCACTCCACAAGACCCTTCTTGGCAAGCTCAGCTGCGATGTCCTCTTTAGGTTCTGGGGGCTGGTTTGACTGGATGATGCCAACTCTTCTCTTATGGCTGATAAATGGTATGATTGTCCTGAGTGTCTTTGTGAAGCTGCTGGTCCACGGGGAGCCAGTGATTCAGCCACACTCACGCTCCTCAGTCACCTTCTGGAGACACCGGAAGCAGGCAGACCTGGACCTCTCCAGGGTGAGTTCTACCATCCACCTTTCCTCCCCTAAGCTTGGCCAATAACTCAGTAGCTTCTGTTGAGTTCTCAATGTGTATAATAAGGTCCTGTGGTGAGATTTTATGATGATAAGAAGGAAGAAAAGACCCTGCTGCTAAACAGTCCCAGAGAAGGGGATCTATGTGTAAGTAGTTCCCTGTACACAAACTAATCTATCAACTCTAGTATGACAGAGGAAGAGAAAGGTGCTATGTAGTTTGGGGCAGAAGAGAAGAGTAAGGGGACCTGGGGCTTGAGCTGGGCTGTCAGGGGTGGGGAGGAAGGGCAGGCATGGCAGATGGGCTTTCCAAGCCAACAGTATGACATGAATAGGTAGGCTGTTTGGAAACTAACAAGTTTCATGGGTGTGTCTGGAGTGTAGGATATGTCAGAGAGAGATGACAGACAAAGGCTGGTATATTGTTTGGGCCCAAATTGGCAAGGGCTTTTACTAGTAACTAATTTGGGGCTTTATTCCTCACTCTCTAGAGAACCAAAGAAGGTTTTTGAACAAGAATACTAGCTGAAAGTTTTCATTTGAAAACTATATATATAGGCTCAGCGCCTGTAGCTTAAGCGGCTAAGGCGCCAGCCACATACACCAGAGCTGGCAGGTTCAAATCGAGCCCAGGCCTGCCAAACAACAATGGCAACTACAACCAAAAAATAGCCAGGCCTACTGGGGCTATTAGGGGGCCTGTAGTCCCAGCTACTTAGGAGGCTGACACAAGAGAATCGCTTAAGCCAGGAGTTGGAGGTTACTGAGAGCTGTGATGCTACGGCACTTTCCCAGGGCGACAGTTGAGGCTCTGTCTCAAAAAAAAGAAAAAAAAAGAAAACTATATATATCCTAGAGGCATGTTCAGATGTGTATTTCGCGAGCATTATTGTAATGGTTGCAGAAAGGATGGGTTGGAAGAGGGAGATGTGAACTATAAAGTATGTGGAAACAGGTTAGGGGCCGCTTGAAATAGGCGAGGTAAAAGATGATGGGAAGGGCTCGGCGCCTATAGCTCAACCGGCTAAGGCGCTAGCCACATACACCTAAGGTGGCGGGTTCGAATGCAGCCCGGGCCCACCAAACAATAATGACGGCTGCAACCAAAAAATAGCCGGGCGTTGTGGCGGGCGCCTGTGGTCCCAGCTACTTGGGAGGCTGAGGCAGGAGACTTGCTTGAGCCCAGGAGTTGGAGGTTGCTGTGAGCAGTAAAGCCATGACACTCTACCCAGGGTGACAGCTTGAGGCTCTGTCTCAAAAAAAAAAAAAAAAAAAAAAGATAGAGCCACCACCTTAGAGATTATCCTTCTGAGAACGTCTTTAACAAGCTTCCCTTGCCTGCTCCTATAATGATGAGAAGCAAGGTTATAGGCACTGCCAGCTATGTGGTAGGGGAAAAATAAGTTTCCCGAAACCGTACAGCCTGAGTCTTCTAGTCCCCAGTAATGAGAGAAAGAAAATCTTCAGTACAGTACTGTAGCCTCTCCGTTAGACTTCAGTTTGGACCCTAGGTTAGGATAGTTTAGCTGTGAGTTTATCTAAAACTAAGGTTCTCAAACTTTAGCAGGCATAAGAATCATAGAGGGCTCTAACCCAGAGGCTCCAGATGTTTACATTTCTAACACACTCACAAGGGCCAATGGAATTGGCAGCCTCTGGCACTGCATTTTGAGACCCTAAAAACTTAAAGGATCATGCATCTCATCTAAATCTATGTGGCTATCTTATGTACAAAAACTACCATAAGGGCTGGGCGCAGTGACTCTTGCCTATAATCCTAGCACTCTGGGAAACCAAGGCAGGTTGATTGTTTGAGGTCGCAAGTTTGAGACCAGCCTGAGCTAGAGCAAGACCCTGTCTCTAAAAAATAGCCAGGTGCTGTGGTGGTAGCCAGAAAATAGCCAGGTAGCCTATAGTCCCAGCTACTTGGGAGGCTGAGGCAAGAGAATTGCTTAAGCCTAAGAGTCTGAGGTTGCTGTGAACTATGACACCATGGCACTCTACTGGAAGTGATAAAGTGAGACTTTCTCAAAAAAAAAAAAACCTACCATGGGGAACTCTGACCAGCATTTCTTCATTTGTTCAAAGAAAGACTATAGTACAATCCCAATTTAGTTAAAAGGCTAGAGGAAAATACTTCAGAAGGTCAGCAGTGGTTCTTTCCAGGGAATGAAACTATAGGTGGCTTTTACTTTCTTGTAGCTTTCTGAAGTTTCCCAGGTTTCTATGATGGGCATGTATTAATTATACTCACAATGCGATGGGGGACAGGAGAAGCCTATCAAAACAGAAAAGCCACAGCAAGGCTAATGACCATTAAACACCTTTGCTATTTTGTAGGGAGATTTTGCAGCTGCTGCTGCCAACCTACAAACCTGCTTGTCGGTTTTGGGCCGGGCGCTGCCTACATCCCGCCTGGACCTGGCCTGCAGCCTCTCCTGGAATGTGATCCGCTACAGCCTGCAGAAGCTACGTCTTGTGCGCTGGCTCCTCAAGAAAGTCTTCCAGCGCTGGCGGGCCACCGCAGCAGGCTTCGAGGATGAAGCTAAGACCAGTGCTCGGGATGCAGCCCTGGCCTATCACAGGCTGCACCAACTACACATCACAGGTGAGGAAGCAACTGCCACTCTCTGGCTTATTGCAAAGCACTCCATGCCATCTCTGCTCCTTAGCTTGATTGGCCAGTTCTTCACCCTAGTTGAGCCCCTTGTACACTGTTCTTTTAGAGTAGTCAGACCAACCTTCTCCTTGCACCCATTACTGTGAAAGTATCTTACTACTATATTTCATCATTCTAAAATGTGCATTTTTTCACAGTTCTATCTCTATGCTTGAGATGTGTCATGTAAATAGTGGCATGTTATAGATTAGTTGGAGTGTTTTTCCATAGTGATACTTAATGGAGAGAATTAAAATTGATGGCATCTTAGAGTCAATGAAATATGACTATTTCTTTCAGTAAGCTCCTATTGTGATAGAAGGGCAGGCAAGTTAGCAGATGAATAACAGTTCAGTGTAGGTATGTTAGACTCTAGAAAGAATGTGTTTTTACTGGGAGAGAGTGGGTACCTGTTGAGTGTCAAGAAAGGCTTCCTAGGAGGTAAAGTCTCACTTTCACATGGAGGGATGTGTGGAGGTCATCAGCTCTGCAGAAGGAGATATGCCTTCTGCGAAGGGACGTTCCAGAAGAGGCATCCCATGAGGGGTGGCTCTCAAGAATAACACATTGGTAGTCTTAGAATGATCCATGCCAGGAGAGGATAATGGGATCTAGGGCATTAGTGGTACCTGGACCCTGAAGGATCTGGATGCAAGTCTGGGGATCTTATAGTGTACTGTATCAGTAGGATGTGGTGAAGAATTTTAGGAAAATAATGATCTAATTTGGTCTTAAAGTTTAGAAAAGTCACTCTGGTAGCAGGTAGATCCTCTCAGTCTGGATCTGAGAGGTTCGAGGCTGAATTTAGGGAGGCCAAATAAAATATAACATAGCTTAAAGATGAGAGATGCCAAAAAGACAGATGAAGAAATTAGAAAGTGGAGTTGACTGGACTTGGGGACTCACTGGGAGTGATGGGTAGAGAAGGAGCTGGCAAAGATAGCTCATTGACTTCTTCCTTGGGAGTTTGGGTGAATAGTGGTATCATCAACAAAGGTGAAGAGGCTTGGCACTATAGCTCAAGTGGCTAGGGTGCCAGCTAAATACACCGGAGCTGGTAGGTTTGAATCCAGTCCAGGCCTGCCTAACAACAATGACACCTACAACCAAAAATTGGCCGGGCATTGTGGCAGGTGCCTATAGTCCCAGCTACTTGGGAGACTGAGGCAAGAGAATCACTTAAGCTCAAAAGTTGGAGGTTGCTGTGAGCTGTGATGCCACATAACTCTACCTAGGGCAACAGCTTGAGACTCTCAAAAAAAGAAAGAAAAGAAACAACAAAGGTGAAGAAATCCAAAGGAAGAGCACCTTTGCCAGGGAAAAGGTAATGAGTTCCATTTTGGACACCTGCCTATGAGATATAGAGGGGAAATATGCAGTAGGCACCTGAGTGTACAGGATCTGCAGCCCAAAAAGAGTGAGAGTGGGCCAGGTATGGTAGCTTATGCCTGTTATCCCAGCACCCTGAGAGGCCAACGTGGGTGGATTGCAGTAAGTGTGAAAACCAAGAGGGCTGATGAGATGGTAACCGCTGAGAAGGGGACCCTCAAGGGGAGGGAAGAACACCTATATGTAAAGAATAGGTAGAGGACAGGGAGCTAGGCAGAGGCTGCTGGAGGGGAGCATTTGAAGAGGACCAAGGAGAATCCACAAGGCTCAGTGTTGGGAGGTGCAGGTCTGAGGGAGAGCCATTGGTGCTAGGTGTCAAGGAAGACAAGGGTCAAAAAATAATAGGATGACTGGAAGGTGTTAGAACGTGTTAGAACCCTCCTGTGGCTGCCAGGAGCCTCACCATCAGTGGAACAGATAGAGGTACCGGGGATGGAAGAGTGAGCAGAAGATGATACGGTGGAACCAGTCATGCATTTTTTTTTTTT